TAAAATGAGGCTAATAATACATGCAATACCTATCTTAGAAGGTTCTTGTGAGAATCAAATGAGGTAACATATTTAAAACCAGATAAAAGTCAGCTATTATAACATGCCATGCATGAGATGTAATAATGAATCATTCAGATAATCAGTTTTAGTCAGACAGTCTGACATAGTTTATTTTGGAGTATATATTACATATGATATCATTTAAAAAGCAGTTGCAAAAGATAACTAAAACCACTTCTTGGTTATATGAAGTTTATCTTATCATTTCATTTGGTTGTCACACCAAGTAAAGATTTCTTAGTGTTTCCAGAGTTCTACGATAATGCTGCATTCATAAAGAGAATAAATTAATTGCAGTGAGTTGCAGGATTTGGTAAGATCAAAGAATGATTTCATAAACCAACTTGATTTGTACTTTTGTGGTTGATGATGCCATCAGGATTCCTTGGTAAAATAATTTCCACATAAATCACTAGGATGTGCTATTTAATTTATGTTGTGAATTTATTTCCAGAGAGCTCTGTGGTTCTTAGCAGTGTAGTCATTTTGAAGCATGCTCTTTAAATTAAACAACAATGTTGTTGTTGTTCAGTAGTTTTTCGGTCATGGCTTTCTCTTCATGACCCTATTTGGAGTTTTCATGGCAAAAATACTGGAGTGGTATGCCTTTTCCTTCTCCAGCTCACTTTACAGATGAGGAGACTGAGGCAACAGGGTGAAGTGACTTGCCCAGGGTCACACAGCTAATAAATGTCTGAGGGCAGATTTGAACTCAGAAAGATGAGTTTTACTGACTAGAAGCCCAGCACTTAGCTGCCTAATTCATATAATACCAGTGTTGTATTCAGAATTCCATTAAGGTTCAAGAAATTCTGCAGAAATATTCTGTTTCCTTTTAAATTTTCACTATTCTTACCCATACTTAATAATTCCATTTTCAAATCTTCCTACTGATCCTATGTAGCATAGCTCTGTATGTATGTTTAATCAGCTAATTAACACGTTTCTTGTGGGAGTGTTGCAAATCACTATGCTAGATTCTGAGGTTAATTAAGCAAAAATATGACACTTCTGTTGTCACTGAGTGTGAGCAGTTCTATTGGGAGTTACACATGAGAATATAACTAGTAATACAATTCTAAACATATATATATGTTGTCCATAGGTGTGAATGTATATATATGTACACACATATAAATATGCATACACATATACACATATTATGTTGAATAGACATAGGACACTTCTTATATGGAGGAGATTACAAACCCTTCCCTAGAAGAATATTGCCCACTAATGTTGGCAATGCCAAAGACAAAGAAGAGAACACAAAGGGAGGGCAGCTTTTTAGGACAGAGGCATCAACAAAAACAGGGCTAGGCGTTTACTAGGCTTTGTTCACATCTTGTAAACTCCCTGCAGAATTTGGTTTGCTGAGGAGTCTGGAAGGGGATTGGCCAGGAGGAGAAGGGGGATTAAGGGGGAAGAGAAAGAGCTTGGGGGCGGGGGGGGGGGGGGGGGGGGGGAAGAAGCTGTCTACTTGCTGCTTCCTGATGAATCTCATTCTGGTTCTTGGAGTTGATGGAGAGTGTCAGGAAGATAATCGAATACTGTTACCCTGCTCTTTAAATTGGGAACCACAGCAGGTAGTGATGGTCTTCTTAGTCATTCCTTTTGAGTTATTCATACCTGCTGGAGCCCTGGGTGAACTCGATCTAATTTTATTGCGTTCACACCTCTGATCTCATCACTTTGTCTATGATTTTCTAAAGGAGAGTTGTTAAGATAAAAATATGCCCCTCTGGTTCTCCCTTGTATTCTTTTGCATCATGCAATGGAAAGAGCACTCATCCTGTGCTGTCATGGGAAGTTCGCAATCATGGGGTAAAGGAAAGGAGGACTCAGTTGCTGGAATAGAGCAATCATCTCCTCACCTTCCCTCTTTCTCCAATCCTAGATTTGATGCTTATTATAAGTTCCTTCATTCTCCTTTTCTATGTCCATCTGTTACAACTGTCCAAGGCTAAAAGAATGTATTCAGATGTATTTAAGGTCATGTATGGTCATGCATTTGTATACCTTGGAAGAAGGCAAATTCCTTGAATAAATAAACATTTAGGGTTTTTTTTCTTTATACTCTACTTAGTTTCAGTTAAAAATACTGTATTTTAATTAATCATTGGAATCTTAAATATCATCTAGTCCCGGCCCCTTCTTTTATAGCTAAGGAAATGGGATCCCAGATGAACCACAAAGGTGTTGAAATGGCTGTTTGAACTCAGGATTTCTAAAGCCAGTGCTCTTTCCATTGCATGATAGGGATCCATAGAATGATGGGCTAGGTAGACCTGGATTCTGGATTCTGTTTTCTGAAAAGAAGAGCCATAATAGCTTGGGGCCTCTCCTCTCCTTGGAGTCAAGTTTTCCTACCAGGCATCTGGAAGAAGGAAAAGGTGAAACTCCTCATTGGCAAAAATTAGGGAGTAGCAGAAAGCTGTTCGTGATGCCTTCTGACCTCCTTTTTGCTCCCTTTTCTTCCTTCCTCCAATGCCCTCTCCTGTGCCTAGTAGTCATCAGGTGCCCTCATTTGGTCTTTTGGCTGTCAAACTAACTGCTTGTCCCACCCAGTCCTGCCTTGCCCCCATAATGTGCCATGTTCCAAAATCACCTATCGCCCTACTGCCCTTTCCTTAGGCCAGTGGATCTCAGCTAGGTATTAGGAAGAAATGAATTTAATTTAACTAATTAATGGGGAGGTATGTGTAATTAGCTTGTAATCCCTCATTTGACTTTTAAAAGATGCTGTTCTGTAATCCAAATGGGCCTCTGTATAGAATTTCAGGCTAAAGTATAACAGTGAAGGAAGTACGGAATGTGGTAATGATTTTTCTTAGGGGACCAGAGGAGCCTAGCTTGCATCCTGGTAGAGAAACAAGGAGGCTTGTCCACCAAGGTCACTCTGAGTTTTGTATCAAGGAGTCTTTATAGGAGCTTCAAAACAGCTTTTGTACCGCTTTGACCCCAGAAAGACTTTCTCAATTTAAGTTCATACAGCCCCTTTGCTCTCTCCCCAGGCTGGGTTCCAGCCATTTTCCCTTGTCCTCCAGAAGGTTGGCCTTTGTCTCACAAAGTAACCTTGCTTTTCACATGATTGAGTCCTGGGGGAAAGAGCCTACCAAAGCCAAGACTTGGATCCTCATTCTCACCAGTTCCTCACTGAATAGACCCTACTAGTGGAGGGAGTTTATCTTTTAGTAGCTGAGATGGGAAAGAGGACCTAGATTTGTCAGCCTTAGTAGGCCTTCCCTAGGCCACTAATGATGAACTTTTCATTTGTGCTCCATTTTTATCATTTGCTACTCATGAGCTCATAGCCTTAAAAATTTAAACAAAACATTATTAATCTTTGTACTTTTCAACGGAAATACAACTTAAGAGGCAAATAGAATGTTACGGATGTTAAAATAATCTCAGTTGTTAGAAGTTCATTAAGGAAAATTCATAAACATTAACCTCATAGTAATAATAATATGAATCCTCATTGGCCTAGAATTTCATTTTTATAACAATAGTATTCTGTTTATTATATTTTAAGTAAATTACCCCTTTGCATAAATGCAGATAAAATTCCTTTAGAAGCATTTTGCCTATCTGACTTTTGCAGCTTATGGTTTGAGAAATATTCAGTATTCAGAGGTAGCTGATGGCAAAGTATATAGGATGTTAAGCTTGGAGTCAGGAAAGCAAGTGTTAAAATCCAGCTTCAGACACTTCCTAGCTGGGTGACCCTGGGCAAGTCATTTAACCTCTGTTTGCCTCAGTCTCCTCAAATATAAAATGAGGATAATGATAGCACCTAACTCACAGATTTGTTGTGAGGAGCAAATGAGATAATATTTATAAAAAGCACTTAACACAGTGCTTGGGATATAGTGGGTACATTATAAATGTCTGTTATTCTATTCATTATTTGCAAGTTGAGTGTTCAGTGAGTATTCAATGTCTTGAGTCCTTCAAAGGAAGGTGAAAAAAAATCTACATTAGTACATGACAGTGAGTCATATTAAGCCCCATTCTCTTGATTTCTATAGGCTTACAGAAGGAGAGGAAATATAATGTCTGCTTACTTGGTTACAAAGTAGCTGTACACATGACCTCTTCTATACTGTGCTGAGTATGTGGCATATACATATATGAAGAAGTACTCATTTGTATGTATTTTAGAGGCATGTTATATACTATTTTTTAGGGTATGAGATGAACTTCAATTGTGTGTTATAATTCTTTATGCCTCTTCTCTGACTTTGGGCCGAGGTAGAGAAGATAGTTATAACTTATCATGTAGGAATAGGGGCAGAGTGCTAAAAGCCCACCAGCAATCAGGAAGCTTCCTGATTAGAGGAGATTGGGTCTGATGTTATATAATGGAGCTTGGGCCTCTGAGTTCCCTTATTCATCATGGAATGCCATAATTGGGAATCCTTAACCTGGAAAAGAGAATGAATGATGTTTTAGAGGGGATTATTTTTCAAGGATATTCGGACAACTCTGAAATTCTGTGATTCCATGACCGGAGAAGTGTTAAGGTCAAATATGTGAAGACATTGGCATTCAAAGAAGGTGGGAGAGGGATTCTTCTCCCTTTTTGTGCTTTAAAGAATAGGATTTCCCCAAGCCCAAAGCAGAGAATCACGCAGGCTTGTTTAGGAGTTTAATTGTTTGCTTTATGTGGAAACTTAGATTTTTAGCATGTTTTTTGAATAAGATTAGATGGCTGTTGAGATGCCTTCTACCTCCAAAAATTTTGTGATACTAAAATGTCCCAGTTAGGTGTGTTTTATTCAACTAAGTGAATGAAATAAGCTTTCTGTTTTGGAAGTGCTTAGAGAAGAAAAGATGACTAAGCTAAAGAGTGGTTCATGCTGATGCTAGTGGGTGGTAATGTTTCACCACAGTGGCAATCTAACACGAGAGTTGGGTTTTCTCTTTCCTTCTAGTACACTACTCATCACATTCCAAGGAGTCGGGAGGTCCAGCAGTCTTGGAGCTCTTCAGTGTTTACAACCTTGTATGCTATGTGTTACTCCCTTCCTCTGACTTTTCGACTCAAGCCAGACTTGGTAGGTAAAATTCAGTGGGTCACAGAGTAAAAATGGAATGTGAAATATCTGCTAAGTCCCACACCAATAACAGAACATACGTAGTATCTTAGAAGAAGTCCCTTGAACACACTTTGCCAAAAGAAGTGGGGGAAGTTGCTTTAATTGGTGGGATCACTTAAGAGAGGATGAATGGGACTGCAGAAAGAGTATGCTTTGAAATGAGAGGAGCTGGGCCCAGATCCTAGACCTGCTACCCACTACCTCTATGACTTTAGCCAAGGCCTCTAACCTGTCCAGTCTCAGTTTTCACAGCTGTAAAATTGAGTTGTTGGACTGTATGATCTCTTCATCCACTTCTAGATCCCAATCAATGATTAATGAACTTAAATTTTGCCCTGTTAATTTTTTTCAGGGCTGCCTATAAGTAGTTCCCCTTTAGTGTAGGTAGTCAACTTGTGGATTCTGTACATGCACCTGTGAGCCCTGAGCTGCTATCAGGAAGGAGCTTATTGGGCAGAAAAGATCTTACTCTTCACTGTAGTTTCTTTTTGTTTCTTTTTCTTTGTTTTGTTTTGTTTTTGGTGAGGCAGTTGGGGTTAAGTGACTTGCCCAGAGTCACACAGCTAGTAAGTGTTATGTGTCTGAGGCCACATTTGAACTCAGGTCCTCCTGACTCCAGGGCTGGTGCTCTATCCATTGTGCCACCTAGCTGCCCCTCACTGTAGTTTCTTTTGGGAGGCAAAGTCTATTTACCAAATATGGAATATGTTGATAGAATTTTATAGCTTCTCTTCTTTCTTAAGAGAAGGCAATACAGAAAAGAAAGATTAAAAAGTTAAGCTAGTAAACTCTATAACTGGTACTTTCTCTGCAGTTTATTCTTAGATAAGGGCCTCTACAGAGCCTTGAGAAGTTAAGTGATTTGCCGAAGACTATACAGCCAATATGTGTCAGAAACTGGACCTAGGTTTTCTGGCCCTGAACTCAGCATTCCATACACTATACCACAGTCCCACTCTTTTATTCTATTTATTATAGAATCTATTTAATTGAAACAGCCTATTGGGAACTTTTGACTTCTTGGCTTTGGGGCATTCAGTGTCAGATGAGCATATATTTAAACAGCTCAATTTAAGTGTGTTTCATCTTAGTCATTTGGAAGAATGGTATCAGTTCAGTCCTTGGCCTTTACTACATATCCATCTCTTTTGAGCAAGAACTTTTAAATCTAAGCTGTTTGTTTTGGATTTCTCTAAATTATAGATAAAGTTGGACTTTATCCCCTGCTCTCTAGCCATGCCTTGAGCATCCAGGAAAGAATCTTAGGCATCTGAAATTCTAGCACTTCTTTGCGAAACAATTATCCCTCAAAAAGTTTTTGGTAGAACAGGCAACAAATAAAGTTCTCTCCACTGACAACTTAAACTGGAAACATTCCATACAAACTTGTTAGACTTGTGAATTGAAATATAAAAATGCAGAGGTGGGGGGCAAGGAGGGGGGAGTCGGCCAGAGTGAGGAGGGGAAGACCAGAACCCTTAAGACGTTTCCAAAGAATTAAGGAAAAAACCAAGAATTATCCAAACCCACATTAAACTTTGTTAATTAGAAACAACCATTAGAAATGTAACAAGCAAGAAGGTTGCATTTACTTTTGACAAGAAGTGGTCATCACAAAGGGAATTCTTTCTTCTTAACTTGGCTGATTTATACATTAAGAAACTTGAGGTTTCCCAAAGCCATTTAATCACTGCCCAGCTAAAGTGAAATAGAAAAATGACTCACAACCTGTATTTAAACTGATTTTATTTACTACTCTTTAGAATGAGAAACCTCTTTAGAATAAAATACCTTTTCTTTGGAATGGAAAGAAAATCCCACTTTGGGAAAAAAATAGCACTTTGGGGTCTGAAATTATCTGAATTGTCTAGTTTGCTTAGATACACAGGCAAGGAGGGTACCATTTGTGTTTGACTTTAGTTGTGTGCCCCTTATTTCTTTTTCTCGTTTATAAAATAAATATTTATATATATATATACACGTGTGTGTGTGTGTGTGTGTGTGTGTGTGTGTGTGTGTATATGTAGACCTTAGAGGCCTAATGTGAGTGCCAAATAGCTGCAAGTCTTTATACTTTTTTGAAAGTAGAAATGCTAAGTAGCTGGGAAGAACTCCTGGTACATAAATTAGCAGTGGGCACTTTGAGAGGTGCATTTCAGGCAGGTCAAGAATTCATTAATTACTTTTTCAGTGGAATAAGTAATACCTTAGCAGTCTAAAAAGGTTGATGTTACTTCCTAGAGGCCTTTTTATCTTTCAGGGAATAAATTTAATATTGAGGAGAATTTAAATAATAATGATTGGTCCTATTTTCAAATTAAATAGAGCTGCCTGTTTTCTCTTCAAAATAGGTTTTTTTCTCTCCTCTGCCTCCGTTCCTTCTCCCAAGGGAGGCAGCGTTGAAAGGACAGTGACCTTGGATTCATAGGGCTGGGGCTCAAAATCCTGCCTTTGCCAGTTACTTGCCATTTGACCTTGGGCACGGCTCTTAGCTTTTCTGAGTCTCAATTTCTTCATCTGTCAACCAAGGAGATTGCACTAGATGGTCTCTGAGCACCCCTTCCAGCACTGGGTCTATGATCCTGTTAAAAGTGGCATCCTAACTAAAGTGTAAACATTGTTTTTCAGCGTCAGTGACAAAGCATCTCTGCTAAGAAGTGGTTTTATCTTCATAGAAGCAATATGAGTGAAATTTATTAGAAAATTTAACTAGATTCTAAGATTCACTATGGCAAATGATATGTAAAAATCAAAATGAAATAGTATTATTTTATTTTTTCAAGATTTTTTGTTAATTTGGTAAAAGTATAACCTAAAGTACCCAGTAGGATTTTAGAAGAATATTTTTAAATTGTCAATTGCGTTTAGAATGAAATAGTATATAACATACTAATATAACGTATATGCTAAAATTAACCCCTTAGGTGAAATGTGTTTCTGTCTGGTAGAAAACAACAAATTCTCTTTTGAAAACCTAAGTCTAATCTTAAGCAGTCACTGAAATTGATCATTTCTTCTTCTGGTAAGGCCACTAAACATCTTTTTCTTTTATCACATTCCTAATATTTTGTATGTTGTCCTATTTTTCTTTTTTTGTTATTGTTGAAGGTAATCAGGGTTAAGTGTCTTGCCCAGGGGTACACAGTAAGTATTTTAAGTTTGGATTTGAACTCAGATCCTTCTGATTCTGTCGTTATATTTTTCGAGGAAGTAGGAGTGTTGTAAAGCTAGGACATCTGTAGATTACTTCAAGGATCTGTCACTTCATTATTTTAACAGAGGTTATAGCCCCTCTATAACTTTTTGAAGATTTTCAAGAGTTCCAGTGGCTGAGAAATTCATTGCCATCTAGCCAACCGTGTGTGTGTGTGTGTGTGTGTGTGTGTGTGTGTGTGTGCATACATGCAAGGGAGAGAGAGAGAGAGAGACAGAGAGAGAGAGATGGATAGATAGATGGACAGCTGGATAGAGTACTTATTAAGTACTTACTGTGTGCCAGGCACCAAGTCACTCTAGTTTGGTCTTAGACCACAGATATTCACTGATCTTATGCTTAAAATCATTCCATTTTGCAGGACCTTCCAGAACTTTCACTCCATAAACAACGCATTTAATAACACAGTCACCTCCAAGTTGAGCCATCAGAGTGAGACTTTAGGATAGTCCCTATAGATTGTGTGTAAATTCAGAGCATATAGAATATCCATCAGGGAAAAGAGGTGTATGGATTAAAATGGAGACTGTCCAGCCTATAAAATAACTGCTTCCATTGTTACTAGAATAGAAGTGTAAATAGTGAACCATAACTTTCCATATTCTTATCACCTGACCACTGAGTAGTTTAAAAAAGAGCTTAGCAGAACAAGCACTAGAATTTCATCTTTGTCTGAAACATCTGATACAACTCAGTACCCTAGTTTTTGTTGAACTCAAACCTCTCTCTCTGTGCCTTTCAAGTTTGTTTGCATTTGGAAAAAGTTAAACTGACTTTTGAAATCTTTAGCGTACTATTAATGAGCATCAAGAAAGTTCATTTTCCGGGTCATTCAACACCACATAGCCTTTGATAAGTTCTCAGATGGGCCCTTTTCTGTTGTTCTCCTGCTCAAGAGCTATAGCTCCCAGAATTTCTTTTGGAACTTTGCAGCCTTGTTTCCTCAAGGTTTCTCAGGATGCACAGACTTTTTTCATTGTAATTTTGTTTGGCTCTGGGAAATGGAAAGAAATGAAGTTTTTTTTCATATATGTGATTCTTCTGTGATGAGTTTTTTGGGCTTCAGCAAGTCATGAAACTATATACGAAGGCGTGGAGGGGTCATGATCTGCATCAGTGGAGGGAATATGATGAAATCATGGCTCTCTCAGAGTATTAAATAAAGCACAAAATAGGAATAATGGAAAATATCAACTCATCTGTTTACAAAGCTTGAAACCATAGTTAAAAGTAGATAACAGTTGCCAAATAGTCTGGTTTTATTATCAGATCATATGTAAAAGAAAGATAATACATACCCTGCTTATATCACAGTTGTTATGTGGCTGAAATGAGATACTTATGAAAAGGCTTTGTAAATTATAATGTACTGTACAAAGGCAAGTTATTATTGTTATTATTTTGTTATGTTAAGGTTACAGAAAGAAAGCTTAATTTATGTTTTCCTTTGGTAATGCAGAGGATACTGTGGTGTCTTCTCTTAGACACCAGGGGGCACAGGATAGACAATCCTGTAGGGTCTACCTTTTATTTGAGATTGATTCTAATTAGGTAGGAGGTTCAGACTTCCTGTCTGTTTGTATAGGAATTCTTGAGTGAGATTTGTTGCTCCTGATTCCTTCTTTGATGCCTCTCTTCATCTTCACTGTTCAGATAAGGCTCCTCTCCTCGGTGTCACACAGCACATAACTGGGCCTGAATTTCCCCAGGCCGTTAGGAGAAATATCTCCTTCCTAGAAGGAAT